AGCGCTGTGTTGTTGTAGTCACAGCGCTGTGTTGTAGAGTCACACCGCTGTGTTGTTGTAATCACACCACTGTGTTGTTGTAGTCACGCTGCTGTGTTGTAGTCACACCGCTGTGTTGTTGTAGAGTCACACCGCTGTGTTGTTGTAGTCACACCGCTGTGCTGTTGTAGAGTCACACCGCTGTGTTGTTGTAGTCACACCGCTGTGTTGTAGTCACACCGCTGTGTTGTTGTAGTCACACCGCTGTGTTGTTGTAGAGTCACACCGCTGTGTTGTTGTAGTCACACCGCTGTGTTGTAAAGTCACACCGCTGTGTTGTTGTAGTCACACCGCTGTGTTGTTGTAGTCACACCGCCGATGTGTGCACTAATAGACACAGTCGCTAGATGCTACCACTAAAGGCCATAGAAATTACTGCAGAGTGGCCGGGGAGATGGTGGCTGGGGGGGGGGGTCAGGGGTAGCAGCCCAGCCCCAGCCTGCCAATGTGCCACCTCGGCCAGCTGAACAATCTAGGCGAGGCCGGAGACTCTGCACGCGACTAGGCCTCACCACGCCACTGTCAGGTGAGTACTTCGTGCTATAGAGTCGATAAATACTGCTATAGAGTCAGCATGTACTACTGTAGTGATAGCTGGTACCACCAGGTCGGTATGCACTGCTGTAATCATAGCAGGTACCACCACAGTCAATATGCACTGCTGTAATCATAGCAGGTACCACCAGAGTATGCACTGCTGTAATCATAGCAGGTACCACCACAGTCGGTATGCACTGCTGTTAGATTTTTCAGAGAAGTTTTGAAATATTTTTTTGGCCCGGGCAACGCCGGGTACATAAGCCAGTTATTATTAAATGGGGGAGAGCAAGGAGAGGGGAGTTCTTGTTGTGGAGGGCTGCAGCCGCGGTGAGTTACCTGGCCGTGTGACCGGGGACATTACCCGTGGGTCGTCTAATGACGACACAACTTTGCTGAGCATGGCGGCGGTGTGGGCTGAATATTTCCACGAGCGACAAACGCGGGTGTCCGAGCGTCCGCGCATGCGGTTTTATTTCTCGAGCGTCACGAGAGAGAGCGAGAGAGCCGTGTCCTCGCGGCGTCGAGCCCTGCGACGGGCGCGCCCTGTCAGGTCGCCGTCAAGGGGCCACCCGGCCAGCATTAAATGACGACGAGCTTGCTCACTTGTTAAATACCAACGGTGCTGAGCACGGCACCAGGGAATCGGTCCGGACACCCCCCCCCCCCCACCCCCGCCTCGTACAAACACAACCGCGCGGATTTATCTCACGTACCCCTTTTCCAATGGCACACCTGAGCCAGAGTGGTGCCAGCACGGTACTGGTGGTGGTTTTCCCACTGGTCACACCCGAGCCAGTGCAGGGCCAGCACGGTACAGGTGGTGGCTTTCCCACTGGTCACACCCGAGCCAGTGCAGGGCCAGCACGGTACAGGTGGTGGTTTGCCCACTGGTCACACCCGAGCCAGTGCAGGGCCAGCACGGTACAGGTGGTGGTTTTCCCACTGGTCACACCCGAGCAGGGCCAGCACGGTACTGGTGGTGGTTTGCCCACTGGTCACACCCGAGCCAGTGCAGGGCCAGCACGGTACAGGTGGTGGTTTTCCCACTGGTCACACCCGAGCAGGGCCAGCACGGTACTGGTGGTGGTTTGCCCACTGGTCACATCCGAGCCAGTGCAGGGCCAGCACGGTACAGGTGGTGGTTTGCCCACTGGTCACACCCGAGCCAGTGCAGGGCCAGCACGGTACAGGTGGTGGTTTTCCCACTGGTCACACCCGAGCAGGGCCAGCACGGTACTGGTGGTGGTTTGCCCACTGGTCACACCCGAGCCAGTGCAGGGCCAGCACGGTACAGGTGGTGGTTTTCCCACTGGTCACACCCGAGCAGGGCCAGCACGGTACTGGTGGTGGTTTGCCCACTGGTCACATCCGAGCCAGTGCAGGGCCAGCACGGTACTGGTGGTGGTTTGTCCACTGGCCACACCCGAGCCATGCCAGAACTGAACAGCGACAATTACACCGCTGCTACTGCAGCTGCTACCACCCTTAGAAGAAGACGTCCGAGTTTGGCTGGGGGCGAAGCAGGGTCAGGAAGGGGGGGGGGGGCTAACGACTCGGTACACCGAGTCACGACATCGACTGGCACGGCTTGGCCTCCACAGTGGAAAAACTACGGCTGGCGCCCCCCCCCCCCTGCCCCATTGGCCATGCTGGGTGGCCGGTTCGGCTACGGCTCGGTTGTGGCGTGGGAAAAAAAAGATCTCCGTGACGGAGAGTACAATACAGAAGATTTTGCAAAGACAAAGATCCCCCGTATAGCCTTAACAGACTGTTGGGGTAGATGTTGTTAGCAAGTAGTACCTATGAAGGCCGATACTCTGACACGGCACACGAGGGGGTGGGTGGCCAGCACCACGCCCGACCACCTTTGTCTCCCCAGTAGCGATGTTTACACACCACACCAGGTACTCATTTGAGGCTGAGTCGACCTAGGGGAGGCCCAGGATCGGTTCAGATAATCGTCACTGGTGTTGGCCGTGAGCGGAAATCGAACTCGGGTTGCCGGGTTTGTAGCACAGGGTAGCGCTAACCGCTAGACTACCTCTCCGCACTCGGGTGGATGCGTTCCTGAAGAACATCGCGTTATAATTAATAATAATATATGATATAGGCGCGCAGAGTCCAGGGTAACACGGGAGACGATGGCGTAACGCAGGGCCCGAACAAAGACCGAGGCGTGTGGTGGCAGGTAGCGTCCATTAGCGGCATCCAGCAGCATCCCAATGCCTCATGCGATGACGATGCTATGCCGAGGCAGCAGCCGTACATACGACCCCTTTTATTCCCACCCACGCTGCGACGTAATTCCGTTCACTCGATCGTATAACGTATCCAATTGGCATCCGCGTCACATAAATAAAAATGCTTTCCCCGAATACATTCACCGCGTTGTATCATCCAATTCACTTGAAGGAAGCCACGCGCGATAGCAGAACTGGCTGTACGGGGTGTTTATTTTTTTAGCCTAAGGGGCACACCCCCAGTGGCAGCTGCTTCTGTGCGGCACAGAGGCAACTCGGTCTCCCCGGGGATTTGAGAGCGAGAATTCGCAGCCAGTAGGGGGGCATCTGTCAGGCTGTCCCAATGATGTGATGGTAAATTGTAATATCGTAAAAAAAACTCCTCTACTTACGAACTTTCAGAGATACGAACAAACTTGTCCGTATGTCCAGTTGCCCGTTTGGACCGAGAGTCGTAAGTTCCACCACCGCGCAATAAATTATGGTGGTGGCATCTACATCTGCAGAACATACAGAACCAGTGGCATCTACATCTGCAGAACGTAAAGAACCAGTGGTATCTACATCTGCAGAACGTGAAGAACCAGCGGCATCTACATCTGCAGAACGTGAAGAACCAGTGGCATCTACATCTGCAGAACGTGAAGAACCAGTGGCATCTACATCTACAGAGCGTGAAGAACCAGTGGCATCTACATCTACAGAGCGTGAAGAACCAGTGGCATCTACATCTGCAGAACGTGAAGAACCAGTGGCATCTACATCTGCAGAACGTGAAGAACCAGTGGCATCTACATCTGCAGAACGTGAAGAACCAGTGGCATCTACATCTGCAGAACGTGAAGAACCAGTGGCATCTACATCTGCAGAACGTGAAGAACCAGTGGCATCTACATCTGCAGAACGTGAAGAACCAGTGGCATCTACATCTACAGAACGTGAAGAACCAGTGGCATCTACATCTACAGAACGTGAAGAACCAGTGGCATCTACATCTACAGAACGTGAAGAATCAGTGGCATCTACATCTACAGAACATGAAGAATCAGTGGCATCTACATCTACAGAACGTGAAGAACCAGTGGCATCTACAGCTACAGAACGTGAAGAACCAGTGGCATCTACATCTGCAGAACGTGAAGAACCAGTGGTATCTACATCTGCAGAACGTTAAGAACCAGTGACATCTACATCTGCATAACATAAAGAACCAGTGACATCTACAACTGCATCACATAAAGAACCAGCGGCATCTACATCTACAGAACGTTAAGAACCAGTGGCATCTACATCTGCAGAATATAAAGAACCAGTGGCATCTACATCTGCAGAACGTGAAGAACCAGTGGCATCTACATCTGCAGAACGTGAAGAACCAGTGGCATCTACATCTGCAGAACGTGAAGAACCAGTGGCATCTACATCTGCAGAACGTGAAGAACCAGTGGCATCTACATCTGCAGAACGTGAAGAACCAGTGGCATCTACATCTGCAGAACGTGAAGAACCAGTGGCATCTACATCTGCAGAACGTGAAGAACCAGTGGCATCTACATCTACAGAACGTGAAGAACCAGTGGCATCTACATCTACAGAACGTGAAGAACCAGTGGCATCTACATCTACAGAACATGAAGAACCAGTGGCATCTACATCTACAGAACATGAAGAATCAGTGGCATCTACATCTACAGAACGTGAAGAACCAGTGGCATCTACAGCTACAGAACGTGAAGAACCAGTGGCATCTACATCTGCAGAACGTGAAGAACCAGTGGTATCTACATCTGCAGAACGTTAAGAACCAGTGACATCTACATCTGCATAACATAAAGAACCAGTGACATCTACAACTGCATCACATAAAGAACCAGCGGCATCTACATCTGCAGAACGTGAAGAAACAGTGGCATCTACATCTGCAGAACGTGAAGAACCAGTGACATCTACATCTGCAGAACGTGAAGAACCAGTGGCATCTACAGAACGTTAAGAACCAGTGGCATCTACATCTGCAGAATATAAAGAACCAGTGGCATCTACATCTACAGAACATGAAGAACCAGTGGCATCTACATCTGCAGAAAGTGAAGAACCAGTGGCATCTAGATCTGCAGAACGTAAAGAACCAGTGGCATCTAAAACTACAGGAGATTATACAACTATTAAAGCCATTCCCCGTGTTTAGTGTACATGTACAACATGTTTGGAATCGACATGATTAAAAGTTGGACTCACGAACAAATCGACTTACAAACAGACCTCTGGAACTCAACTCGTTCGTAAATATATGAGTCTCTATATTGCACATTTGGCAGATGTGGATAATTTCGAGCTTCAACTTCATTGTTGTGTCACACAGGTTGAGGGAGCTTTGAGGACCAGGGTATGAGTCTCACTTGCAAGAGTGATCTGGGACACAAGTCTACGGCCGGTAGGAGGGAGAGGGGGAGGGGGAAGGCGGGGGGGGGGAACGATGGCTGCTGTGTGTGATCCATGGTCGGGTGATTTGCCGCATGATTTTCCAAGGAAATGTTTGCACGTTTCCTTGGTGAGGATGTCCTCATTTTCCTTTAACGTGGACTCCCCCTGCAGTAGCTGCACGGAGCACCAGGGGTCCACAGACCCCCTGCAGTAGCCACGCGGAGCACCACTATCTCTGATTGGCTGCATGTCTCAAATCTGATTGGTTGCATGTATTGTCTCCGATTGGCTGCATGTCTGGAATATGATTGGCTGCATGTCTCGTATCTGATTGACTGCGTGTCTCGTAACCGATTGGCTGCGTGTCTTGTCTGCGATTGGCTGCATGTCTCGAATATGATTGGCTGCGTCGGACCCGCTCATCTCCGATTGGCTCATCATCGTCCGCGTGCCGTGTGCAGTGACGACGAGCGTGGCGGTAAAGAGGGTGACGGTGAGGAGGGTGCCGAGGGTGGTGAGGAGGGTGGTGAGGAGGGTGCAGTCCACGTCTTCGCGTGGAGCAGCCGCGTGTTGGTCACCTCGCAGTCGATCTGCATCATCGACTCTCCCGCATCCTCCTGGACCACCGAGTCTACGTCACAACAACAATAACCGCCGTCGTCATCATCATCATCATCACAAGAACCACCGTCGTCATTGCAATCATTATCGTCATTGCAATCATCATCATCAACACCACCACCCCTCTATCACCCCATATGTCCATGCGTAGCTGTGTCCGGGTGTGTGTGTGTGTGCCCGTGGTAAAAAAAAAACAACCTCCTCGTGGTGCCGGACAGGCAACGCTGTCGTGGACAGTGCTGCGGGAGCGAGGGCCAATTCCGATTGGCCTCTCCCCTCAGGGCGTCTATGACCACCACAGTGGCTAAATGGGGGCTCTGGACGGGTGCGAGGGGCTGGTAACCCCTCCACCTTCAATTAACTACCACTAAACTACGACCGAAAAATGTAATTAACAAGCTTGTGCCGGAGGCCCCGGGGGGACAGGCGTCTATGATGTCTCCTGGCCAAACCCCATTTGGCGGAGCCAGGAGATTGAATCTCTACCATCGGGGCTCCTCCAGAAACAACAAAAAGCCACTGCGGATAGCCACGTGGAATGTTCACTCCTCAGTGTGCTGGGAAAGGTCCTGGCAAGGATTATTCAACATCGCCTTGCCAGGCACGCTGAGTAGAGGCTTGCGGAGCCCCAATGCGTTTTCAGGAAAGGGCGGTCCTGCACAGATGCCATATTTTCTGTCCGTCTGCTACAGCAGAGGTGTAGGGAATTCCAACAAGACCTACATCTCTGCTTTATTGACCTGGTCAAGGCCTATGATACCATCAGTAGGCCTGGGCTTTGAGTTGTTCTTCGTGCCTTTGGAGTCCCTGACCCCCTGCTCACGATCATTAAGGACCTTCATGATGGTGAGCGGACCCGGGTAAAACTACGTGGCCGGGAGTCGGAGCCATTCCCTGTTCACCTTGGGGTGCGACAGGGATGTCCTCTGGCTCCAACATTATTTAACATCTATTTCGACCACGTAGTTCGTGAAGCCTTCAGTAGCTGTACCGGATGAATTTCCATCTGGTACAGATACAATGGGAGGCTGATCGATGCCCGGGTGCGGTCAAAGGATGGCTCCCTATTGCCCAACCACGTTATGTATGCCAATGACCTGGTAATTGCGGCTCACTCAGATGAGGAGTTGGAGGCGCTGCTGCTGAAACTGGAGCATTCCACTAAGAGGTGGGGCCTTACCATCAGCCCCACCAAAACGAAGCACCTGCCTGGGCATTTTGTACCATCGGACACTCCACCCCCACAACTCCCAATCGGTGATGGGGCAGTTGTGGAGAGAGTGGAGAGTTCCCCATACCTGGGCAGTGTGCTCATGACCGGCTCCGATTTAACAGCAGAGGTCTCACTCCGAATCAGTCGAGCGGCAATATCTTTTCATCGGTTGCGTAACGCTGTGTGGAAGCTACCTGGCCTGTCGCTCCGCACGAAGCTTCGGGTCTTCTCGGCCACGGTCATTCCTTCCCTTCTCTACGCTTGCGAAACGTGGACCCCCTTAATGGAACATCTTCGCCGGTTGGAAACATTTAGGCTGGCCTGCCTACGATCCATCCTGGGTTTAACCAGACTGGATTGTGTGAGGAGCTCACAAATCCTTGAAAGATCTGGGCAAGGTCCCATCGGTGAGCTCCTCCGGCAGGCAAGGCTGCGTTGGCTGGGTCATGTAGCCCGCATGCCCAGCCACCGCATGCCGAAACAGCTTTTGTTCGGCCGGATCGAGGGGGCTAAGCGGGCGCGGCACGGGCTAGAGAAGAGATGGAGTGATGTGGTACAGGAGGACGTGGGGCTGAGTGGACTTGCCGATGACTGGTACCAGCGGTGTCAAGATCGGCCTCTGTGGAGGAGGCTCGTGAAGGACGCTACTGGGCAGTTGGAGGCAGTCGCCCTCCAACAACAACGGAGGGCGGAGGAGCGACGCTCGCAACAACGAGCGGAGCACCGTGTGGCTAAAGCACAGCAGGTTGGCACAGTAGGGGGCACAGGTGGTGCACCAGCCACTCATCTCAGTCAGTCGACCCGTGGCACCTGGGTCTGACCCGTGACCTCCTGCCAGCGGGCGTTCGATCACGTCACGTGGTGGCCTCAAGGTGCACCTAGCCTGGCACAAGCGTCATGGTGACGTCACCGCCACTTAGTGACAAATGGCGGTTGTTGTTGTGTGTCCGTGCGTGTGTCCGTGCGTGTGACCGTGCGAGCATCACCGTTGTGCTGGGCCATGGCGGGCATGAGGAGAGACATGCGTGGCCTCCGTGTGTGGTTGTGAGCGCGGGCCGGGAGCAGCAGGTGGTCCTGGACACAACATGACAACAACAACACGATTGTGAGCACAACACAACACAATAACACGACAACAACACAACGACACAACGACAAACCAACATGACAACACAAGCACAATACAACACGACACCAACACGACGGTGAACACAACACAACACGACAACAACAACACAACAACTGCAACACCACAACACAATAACACAACAACACCACAACACGACACCAACAATGCAATAGAACGTGATGTAAAGAAACACAACGACACTGTGTGGATGGGCAAGTGTTCGACAATACGACTGTACTATAGTGACTGTACGACTGTACGCCAGTAGAACGGAGTGACTGTACGACTGTACGCCAGTAGGACGGAGCGACTGTACGACTGTACACCAGTAGGAGTGACTGTACGACTGTATGCCAGTAGGACGGAGCGACTGTACGACTGTACGCCAGTAGGACGGAGTCACTGTATGACTGTACGCCAGTAGGACGGAGTCACTGTACGACTGTATGCCAGTAGGACGGAGTGACTATACGACTGTACGCCAGTAAGAGTGACTCTACGACTGTACGCCAGTAGGACGGAGTGACTGTACGACTGTACGCCAGTAGGACGGAGCGACTGTACGACTGTACGCCAGTAGGACGGAGCGACTGTACAACTGTACGCCAGTAGGAGTGACTGTACGACTGTACGCCAGTAGGACCGAGTGACTGTATGACTGTACGCCAGTAGGACGGATTGACTGTACGCCAGTAGGACCGAGTGACTGTACGACTGCACGCCAGTAGCACCGAGCGACTGTACGACTGTCCGCCAGTAAAAAGGCGCCACCGTACAACCGAACATCAGGCGTGACTGCAGCC